TTTGTTTTTCTTTGAGATTGTTCTAGCCATTCTAGTTCCCTTGCACTTCTACCTGAATTTTAGGATCAGCTTGCCAATTTCTGGGGGAAAAAACCCAAAACCTGCTGGGATTTTCATTGGGATCACACTGAATACATAGATCAAGTTGGGGAGTATGGTTAATATTAATTCTTCCTAGTCATGAGCATAGAATGCCATTCCTTTATTTAAATCTTTAATTTCTTTCAGTAATGTTTTATAGTTTTCACTGTACAAATCTTACACAATTCTTTCCCAAATCTTTCACAGTGCACAAATCTTTTACAATTCTTCTTTTGTTAAATTTATTTTTAAGTATTATATTGTTTGTGGGGTTGTTATAAATGGGATAATTTCATTAATTTTTAGATTGTTCATTGCTAATGTATAGAAATACAATTGATTTTATCGATTTTTTTTTTTTTTTTTGAGATGGAGTCTCGCTCTGTCACCCAGGCTGGAGTGCAGTGGTGCAATCTCAACTCACTGCAAGCTCTGCCTCCTGGGTTCACGTTATTCTCCTGCCTCAGCTGCCCGAGTAGCTGGGACTACAGGCACCTGCCACCACGCCCAGCTAATTTTTTGTATTTTTAGTAGAGCTGGTGTTTCACCGTGTTAGTCAGGATATCAATTTTATATCCTGCCACATTGCTGAATTTGCTTAGTTCTGTTTTTTTAGAGGATTCCTTAGGATCTTCCGTATACAAGATATCACGTCATTGACAAATAGAGATATTTTTACTTTCTACTTTCTAATCTGAATACCCCTTATTTCTTTTTCTTGAGTGACTGCCCTGGCTAGAATATCAAGTACAATGTTATATAAAAGTAGCAAAAACAAAAGCAAACATGCTTGCCTTGTTCCAGATCTTAAAAGGAAAACACTCCATCTTTCTCCATTAAGGAGACTGTCAGCTGTGAGCTTTTTGTAGATGCTTGATTGGCTTGAGAAACCTCCCTTCCATTGTTTTTGTTGTTGTTGTTTCCGTGTGCATGTTTTTTGAAACAGTCTCGCTCTCTTGTCCAGGCTGGAGTGCAGTGGCGTGATCTCGGCTCACTGCAACCTCCACCTCCCAGGTTCACGCGATTCTCCTGCCTTAGCCTACTGAGTAGCTGGGATTACAGGCATGCGCAACTATGTCCAGATTATTTTTACATTTTTAGTAGAGACAGGGTTTCACCATGTTGGCCAGGCTGATCTTGAACTCTTGACCTCAAATGATCCACCCACCTTGGCCTCCCAAAGTGCTGGGATTACAGGGGTGAGTCACCATGCCTGGCCCCTTCTATTGCAAATGCGTTTTTTTTGTTTTGTTTTTTGTTTTTTTTGAGACAGGGTCTCACTTTGTTGCCCAGGCTGGAGTGCAGTGGTGTGATGACAGACTGCAGCCTTGACCTCCCAGGTTGAAGTGATCCTCTCACCTCAGCCCCCTAAGTAGCTGGAACTACAGGTATATGCCATCATGCCTGGCTAATTTTTAAATTTTTTGTAGAGACAGGGTCTCACTGTATTTCCCAGGCTAGCTGAATGCTTCTGTCATGAAAGGGTGTCAGACTTTGTCAAATGCTATTTCTCTATCGAGATGAACATGTAGTTTTTATCCTTTGTTGTATTATTATTATTATTTTTTTTTTTGAGATGCAGTCTTGCTCTGTCATCCAGGCTGGAGCGCAGTGGCACCATCTCAGCTCAGTGCAACCTCTGCCTCCTGGGTTCAAGCGATTCCTGTGCCTCAGCCTCCTGAGTAGCTGGGATTATAGATGCCCACCATCACACCCAGCTAATTTCTGTATTTTTAGTAGAGAAGGGGTTTCATCACGTTGGCCAGGCTGGTCTTGAACTCCTGATCTCAGGTGATCCACCTGCCTCAGCCTCCCAAAGTGTTGGGATTACAGGCATGAGGCACCGGGCACCTGGCCTCCTTTGTTCTATTGATATGGTGTATTGCACTGATTTATTTTCAGATGTTAAATCAATCACTCCTGGAATCAATTTCACTTGGTCAGGGTATATAATCCTTTGTATACGTTGCTGGATTTGGTTTGTTAGTACTTTGTTAAGGGTTTTTATATCTGTATTCATAAAGTATACTGGTTTGTAGTTTTCTTGTGATGTCTTTGGTATTGGTATCAGGATAATTCTAGCCTCATAGAAGAAGCTGGGAAGTATTCTCTCCCTTCTATTTTTGAAAGACTTTGTGAAAAACTGGTATTAATAAAAAATCCTTACTAAGGAAATTTTTTAACATACCAAAAAATAGTAAGAACAGTATCATGAGTTCCTGTGTGTATTCCCACCTAACTTCAATAATTATCAATAGTCCACCATTCTTATTTTACTTATACTTCCCCTCCCCCACACCTTACTCTTTTGGGGGCTGAAGTTATTTTAAAGCAAATCCCACACACATCATTTCACCTTTAAATACTTCAATGTATATCTCTAACAGATAAAGACCTCTTTTTTTTAACATAAGCAGAATTATTTCACCTAACAAAATTGGCAGTAATTGATAATGTTATCTAACACCTGGTCCATGCTAAAATTTCCCCAAATGTTTAAAAAATAATTTTTTGAATTGGTTTGAATCAAGATCTAAACAATGTACAACACTGCATTTTAGTTGGCATGACTCTTTCCATAACGGCCTGTTTCTCCCTTTTCTCCCCATGCGATTAATTTATTTGGTGAAAAAACAAGGTCAATTTATCCTATACAATTTTTCTGTATTCCAATTTTGGATGTTGTATCCTCATGTGTCTGTTTAACTCATTCTTCTGTCCTTCATATTTTGAAACTGGCAGTTAGATCTAGATTGAGGTTGCTGTGAACTTACTATTGCATAATATTAGAAAACAGTATCTGGCTATCCCACTTTTAGCGTTAAGATTAATCAATGAGTTCATATGCTACTCGCTAGATCCACCTATTATAAAGTCCCCTATCAACCTTTACTTCATAGTTTTATCAACCATTGACAATTTGTGACTAGGTACATTATTTCAGCAGAAGTTGCAACATGGTGATTTTCTCATTCTCTCAGTTCTTCCAAGGCTAGGATTTTTACTTTCACAATTCTATACTCTAGATCTATGTGTCCTAAATAGGGAGGTATAACCTCCAGGTGCCATAGTGCAAGCCCTGGGGTCATTTTTGCTTGTCACAGTAGTTGGAGGGCCTTCTTGGCATTTACAGGCAGAGACTAGAGATGCTGGATATTCTACAATTGATAGTAGAGATTCACGAAATGAAGAATGACCTACATCCCACACAATTTTCAAATGTCTTGTTTAGATATTCATGGAGGTGTAAGCCTAAATAAATTATCTGAATGTAAGGCCATTTTATGTATGAATATAAAGTATTTTTTTTCTGTTACTTTAAAACAAGCACATTTTTCCAGGAATGTAACTATGGCATAATTGAAGAAACAATATTCAATCACTATTTTGTTTGCAATTCTCCTAACAGCTGTTTACCATTTCAAAAAAGTCATGTTAGTAACAGCAACAGAGTTTTGTGGTATTTGAGTTGCTAACATAATACATCCGTATACAACACCTTTTGTCACTGTTGAATTCAAGATAATACCACATACACATGTAAACATCTCTGCTCTCCATTGTACTCATGCACCTACACATGGAATATACATCATCATCTTATTAATTACTCTCTTTTTCTAATTTATATTATAGTTAGGACTTTATACTGATTTCCTCTGAAATGTGGATGAGGTAAGTTAGAATACCTATGAATTCCATTTCAATATAGTAAGAGCTATTTCACAGAATATTTGTTTTGAAATAAACAAATAAAGCTGAGAATTACTATTTACTTCAGGTCTAAAATTTTTTCCCAATCTGACTTCTGACCGGGGCTTATTCTTAAATCTTTCCAGCATGGAAAGGTGGTTAGATCACATCTGTTTACATCACAGGCAGAGCACTGTGCAGGGAGTAAGGATACCTAGACCCCAGCCCTGGCTCTACCTCTTTATTGGTGGCTGGTGAACTCAGGCAGGTCATCTTATCTCTATTCCCTTTGGTAAAATAAGATATATCAGATAAGTCATTTTCAATCTTTTCAACCACTTTTTCTAATTCTCCATTGTCTTCACAGGACTCAATATTTTTGGTAAAGACTTTGCCAAAGAGATATGCCAATCATTACCTGTAATAATTTAACTGATTTCCCATTTTTAGCTAACTAAAGGCATATAATTATGAACCAGAATAAAATAACAATGGTAGTCTACATTTATTAAGTGCTTATTTATGTCCCTCACAGTGAATTCTGTCCCTCATCCCCACCAACAGTATGATATCACAGTATGGGCTCCAAACTGAGAAGTGGTATCTCAGCTAGAGACTAGGGTCTCATGGTCCTTGTCTCCTCCCTCTGAGCAGAAGTCTCCAGTCCTAACGCTGCCATCCTAATCTGCAAAAACCTTGGAATGTGACTCACTCGCACCCCATGCTATTTTGGAAAACTTCTGAAGTTGATAGTGAGGTTGGGGGACTACAGTGAAATGAAATGAAATGGGCAAGACATTGGGACTGCATCTCCTCTGGGTTAGTACCTCTGCATCTTTGCATTTTCTCAAAAAGAGTGGCCCAGGGCCCTGTCTAGACAAAGAGCTCTGGAATGAATTCGCGTGAATTACCTGGGCAGCAACCCTGGACTACTGCACATAAGCTCCAGAGGCACTGATCCTTGGATAGACTCAGGGGCTCTGTGTGGCTTCTAGAAAGAAGTCAGGCAGGCTTAAGATGTGGGGTAATTAGGGTGACTAGTAGCAGTTCAAGAACTCACTGCTCCACTTACGTCTCCACTTTCTAATTCCATTGAACCCCAAGACATTGATCATTTTGTTGAAAACACACACGGGCCAGGGATGGGGTCAAGTGGCAGGATGGGGATAGCTGGCTGGAATCCCTCTGCAGAAGCATGGGCTTCCCGCTGGATGCTCTGTACTCACCAGGGAGGCTGCCGGCTGGTGTGTGGATGGTGTGGAGGAATTCGGAGTGGGTCCACCTCTCTAGCGGTAGCAGGGGGGAACTCCCGGTGGGGACTGCTTACACTAGCCTTCTCCCACTGCTCATGGATAGGTGTGATGATTCCAGACACAATACGAGACCGAAGCTCCTCACTGTTCTTGTAGGTCCTGCAGGAAGCAAACGAAGAGTCAACTGCTTGCAGTTGGCTAGGAACCCTGGAAGCGGTATTCTGGCCGCAACGATGGCAGCGGCGGCCCTGAGAGCTCCTGGCGTTGCGCTTGGCCTGTTTATAAGTGGGGGAACAGGCCGCCTGGTGGACCTGGGTGAGGGGGGCAACAGCCCCACGCTGTCTCTGAGATTTGGGCCTAAGCTTCTTAGGCATCTGAGTTGCCCCTCCTCGTTACCACCCCATTAGAAAGAGGTGAGGGTGTAGGGGCACAGAGCCTGGACTGGCTACTCCTCTGTTCTCACCCACCTCACCCCTCCCTCAGCTTCATTGTGTGTTCATCATGTGTCATGGGAAGGGTCATGGAAGGCAAAGGCTCCACGGGGAGGATGAATCAGGTTCCTGGTCCAGGCAGGCAGAGCTCTGGGGGCTCAAGGTCCAGTTCTGTCACTAACTCAGGAGTCCTCGGAAGGCTGCCCCTAACACCTATCCCATCCTGCCTGGGCCTCTTTTTCTTTGCCTGTGAGAGACAAGTGACGTGAGCCACAGCTGAGGTGTGGAGGCAGGCTGAGGTAACAGAATGGGTAGGACTCCAGGCTTCCTAAAACACTGGTATTTTAAAATGAACCACATCCTGCCCATAAGGCAAAGCTCACAAATGTAAAATAACTGAAACCATACAAAGTATGTACTTCAACCATATGGAAGCACAACAGAAATCAAAACAAAAAGTTAACTCTCTAAGTACATGAAAATTAAGCAACATACTTCTAGAAAATCCTTGGATCAAAGTCCCAAAAAAGAAATATATAGCACTGAATTAAAATGAAAATAAAAACACATGAAAATATGCAGGATATAACTAAAGGATTGCTGAGAAGAAACCTCATAGCACTAAATGCTTACATCAAGAAAGAGGAAGGAACTCAAATCAATAACCAAAATTCTGACCTAAAGAACCTAGAAAAAGAAGAGCAAATTAACCCAAAGCAAGCAGAAGTAATAAACGTAAGAACATAAGTCAATAAAAAAAAAAATAGAGAAAATGAAACAAAAAGTCAATTCTTAAAAAAAAAAAAAAAGAATACAATTGACCAACTTCTAGCAAGACTGACAAATATAAAAAGAGAAAGGACATAAGTCACCAGAAACAAGAATGAAACAGGAAATATTACAATAGATCTGTAGCCACTGAAAGGATAATAAGAGAATACTAAGAACAACTTAATCCAACAATTCATAATAGACCAATTCTTAAAAACCATAAACTACAACTCAGCCAAAATGAAACAGATAATCTGAATAGTTTCATTAAAGAAACTGAATTACACTTAACATTCTAAAAACAAAAAACAAAAAACAAAAACCAAAAATCTCCAGCCTCAGATTGTTTCAGGGAGAATTCTATCAAACATTTAAAGAAGAATTAACATCAATTTTACCATCACTTCTAGAAAATATACGAGGAGGGAATACTTTCCAACCCCTTTCATGGGACCAGTATTACTCTGGTATCAAAACCAGGCAAAGACCATACAAAAAATAAATAAATAAATACAGACTATTATATCCTATGAACTTACACACATAAAACATCCTCAATAAAATATGAGCAAATTGAATTTAAAAATGTATAAAAAGAATTATATACCATGACCAAGTATGACTTGTTCTAGGTATGCAAGACTGGTTAGTAGTCACAAATCAATCAATGTAATCTACCATATCAATAAGCTATGGAAGAAAAATCATATGGTCATATCAATTGATATAGAAAAAAGCTTTTGACAAAATCCAACATGATAAATCCATTCAAGATTAAAAACTCTCAACAAACTTAAGAATAAAGGGGAACTTCTTTAATCTGATAAAGAACATTTACAAAAAACCTACCCATAACAATAGACTTTACTGTGAAAGACTGCTTTGCCCCTAAGATTGGGAACAAGGCGGTGGTTCACGTCTGCAATCCCAGCACTTTGTGAGGCTAAGATGGGCAGATCACAAGGTCAGGAGATCGAGACCATCCTGGCTAACACAGTGAAACCTGGTCTGTACTAAAAATACAAAAAGTTAGCCGGTCGTGGTGGCATGCGTCTGTAGTCCCAGCTACTCAGGAGGTTGAGGCAGGAGAATCACTTGAACCCAGGAGACAGAGGTTGTAGTGAGCCAAGATCATGTCATTGCACTCCAGCCTGGGAGACAGAGCGAGACTCTGTCTCAAAAAAAGAAAAAGAAAAAAAGAAAAAGGACGAGACACAGAACCTAGAATAGCTAAAACTATCTTGATGAAGAAAAAGTGGGAGGAATTATTCCACTCAATATTAATGCCTACAATAATCAATACTGGTAGAGTAATACTGACAGAAGAGGAGACATAGAGATCAATGGAAAAGAACAGAGGATCCAGAGATAGATCCACAGATGTACAGACAACTGATTTTTGACAAAGTTTCAAAAGCAATTCAATGAAGGAATAACAAATGATGTTGGAGCCATTGGACATCCATGGGTAAAAAAAAAATGAGCCTTGATCTAAATGAGTAAGTAAGCCACTGGACATCCATGGGTAAAAAAATGAGCTGCTTCCCTGCCCAAGCTGGGTGCGGGGGTAAATTCAAATCCTCTTTCCTTTTAATGAGATCAGGGGGAGGCCTCTGATATCCCTAGGCATGTGTAAAATTCAGGCCTGATTAAAAAACCACCAGGTCCTGAAGGAGAGGTTCTCACATAATTTTTAAGCCTTGGCAGAACAACCGCGACAGCCTATCATCTCATCTGACACAGAAAGGGTACAGCAGAATGGAACACAATAGGTTTATATTTCTTAGCAAATCACAGTTTGCTCACTGAGGAGCACAAACTCCTAGAAGAGTGAAGACATGCCACAATGACCTAACAAAGAGGGCTACACGGAGGCGGCTATGGTTGAAAGGCATAGGAGGGAGAGAGGGCCTCTGATCAGGAGGCAGAGCCATACCTCAGCTTTCACCGCCCATTTCCACGGAGATGATTCCTGGTGATCAGATTTTTTTCCCCTTTGTGTATTTTACTAAGAGCTGGACTAAGCACTAAGCACTCTATGTGCTGACATCTCATTCCATTCTCAGAAAAACCCTGAGATAGTACTATTGTGTCCCTCATTTCACAGTAATCAAAAAACAAAACAAAACACAACACACATCCTCTCCCTCACACAAAAACCCCTCAAACAAATGTACTTAAAAAACAAATAGAGACAGGATCACAATTCTCTCTATTACTGAGCAGACGGAATGCTCTAATGAGCATGAATGGCCAATATGCCTAGGTTCTTCCACAGGTTTTGTCAATTTCTCTCCCAATGGAACTCCAGAGTGAAGAAGTCAAGAGACCATTCTCCAAATGTTCCCCCCTCACCCACTAAGAGGGTTCAGTGTCAGGGTGTGTGCAACACCCAGAGGAGCAGCATTCTGCTGGTCAGGCCTGGCTCATTTCCCCCTTTCCCCGCTTTGTCTAAAGTACGCAAAAGAGACCCAAGCCCTGCCCTCAAGGAGATCACAAGCAAGGGAAAACCAACTCTAAGAAGGCAAATATAAAATATCTACTGATTGATTAAATGCTTAAAAAATGATGTTTTGAACCAGGGCAACACAGCAAAGACCTCATCTCTACAAAAAATAAAAAACTGGCTGGGCATGGTGGCACATGCCTGTAGACCCAATTATTTGGGAGGCTCAGGTGGGAGGGTCACTTGAGCCCAGCAGGTTGAGGCTGCAATGAGTTGATTGTGCCCCTGTACTCCAGCCTGTCTGGGCAACAGAAGGAAACATGTCTCCAAAAAAAATTGTAAAATGTTTTGAAGCTTTAAGCCTGGGGGCCAGAGGAAGCTTCTCTAAGGAACTGACATTTAAATTGGTAACCAAACGATAAACAGGAGTTGGCTACATGAGATCAAGGACAGCACTTTATGCAGAGGGAAGCAGTCTGAAGAGGGCAGAATGACACTGTGGCTGAAGCACAGGGATGTGGGGAAGGCCGTACAAGGTGAGACTGAAGGGGTGAATGCTAGGCTTTAAGGCCTCATCAAGGATTGTGTTCTTTATCCTAAGAGCAATGAGCATTCCCTGAAGGCTTTTAATGGTGGTAAAATATGCATAAAATTTATCATCTTAACCATTTTTAAGTGTTCAGTAGTGTTAAGTACATTAACACTGTTGTGCAATCACCTACCATCCACCTCCAGATCTCTTTCCATTTTGCAAAACAAACTCTGTACCCATTAATTCCTAACTCCCCTCCCCATTCCCCTCTTGCCCCAGGATCTGGCAACCACGATCTACTTTCTGTCTCTATAAATTTGACAAATCTAGGTACCTTTTATAGAATCATACAGAATTTGTCCTTTTGTGAATGGCTTATTTCATTTAGCATAATGTCTTCAAGGTTTGTCCATGGGCCAGAATTTCCTTCCTTTTTAAACCTGAATAATATTCTACTGTATTTACATACTACATTTTGTTTATCCATTCATCTGTCAATGGACAGCCAGGCTGCTTTCACCTTTTGGCTACTGTGAATAATGCTTCTATGAACATGTGTGTACAAATATCTTTTCAAGACCTAGTTTCAATTCTTTTGGGTATATGCCCAGAAGCGGACATGCAGGATTATACAGTAATTTTTTGAAGAACTGTCATATTGTTTTCCGTAGTGGCTGCACCATTTTACATTCCCAAGAGTGCACAAGGGTTCCAATTTCTCCACATCCTTGACAACGCTTGTTTATTTTCTGGTTATTTTGATAGTACTCATCCTAATGGGTGTGAAGTGGCATCACTGAAGGGTTTTAAGCCAGAGTTGTAACCATGATCTGATCTATGTCTGAAAAAGATTGGTCAGACTGCTATGAGGGAAATACACTGGAGGGTGGCATGCAGGAGGGGAATATGTAAAAGACCTCCTCACACAGAAGTTGCGTGGAAGAGGGGAGGAGAAATGAGGAGTAGCAGTGGTTTGAAATTCTGTGAGGACTGGAATAGGTTCAAACAGGGTATTGCTGATTAGATGCTATTAAATGCAACAGGGTTTCTGGGTAGTTCTGAGGTTCAGTTAAGGTTTCATAACTGTGCATTTATAGTGATGCCAAGCTTACTCTAAAACTCTGAGGATGGCTGGGCGTGGTGGCTCACACCCGTAATCCCAACACTTTGGGAGGATCACCTGAATGGGTGGAACACTTGAGGTCAGGCGTTTGAGACCAGCCTGGTCAACAGCAAAACTCTATCTCTATTAAAAATGCAAAAATTAGCTGGGTGTGGTGGTGCACACCTGTAATCCCAGTTACTCGGGAAGCTGAGGCAGAAGAATTGCTTGAATTGTCACACTGTACTCCAGCCTGGGTGACAGTGCTAGACGCCATCTCAAAAAAATAAAATCCTGCGGTGGTCAATGAAGATGGGGGAAAATTCCCTATAACGGAATAAAGCAGACATAAATCAGCTTAACTATCTATAAAACAGATAACTTCATTATACTGATTTAAAAAACAAGCACTAATCTAAGTACCTTTGGAAGACACTACTCTGCCTACATCTTTTGTGGGACATGGGTAAAAGACAAAAAGAACTGGAAATAAATCATTTGGAACTTTACTTAGTAGGTTTGTTCTTGGTAGGCACTGATGTCATTCAGAAAATATTTGTGTGTATTCTGGGATCAAGTAAATAAGTAAATATGTTGATGCTGTTGGGAATCAGGGTTCTCACCACAGGAGAAGGGACATATAAGTACGGAATAAGAGAAAAAGAATCCTGTAGTGTTATATTAAAAACAGAGGTGACAATTTAAACTCATAAGGAAAAATTTTCCTAGTTCTATCTGCTGAAAAGGCCTAGAATGTACTACTGTATGATACCAACTATATGACACTCTAGAAAAGGCAAAACTATGGAGACAGTAAAAAGATCAGTGGTTGCCAGGAGTTAGTGAAAAGGGAGTGAAGAATAGGAGGAGCACAGATTTTTAGGGTAGTCAAACTATTCTGTGTGATACTATAATGGTAGACACACATTCTCATCTATTTGTCAAAACCCACAGACTGCACAACAGCAGGCTTGAGCCCTAATAATGATGTGTCAATGTAGACTCATCAGTTGTAAGGAGTGTATCACTATGTATGGGATATTGACACAGGGAAGTTATAAGCTGTGGGTGTATGGGACCAGGAGGTAATATGGGAACGCTCTGCACTTTCTGCTCAATTTTGCTTGTACCTAAAACGACCCTAAAGAAAATAATTTTTTTTTTTTTTTTTAAGTTGGAGATTGGGATTGGGGACCCAATGAGGTACACATTCTCCCAGGAGTCTGCTCTGGCTGAATGAGTTGGCCTGGCTCCACCTCTACTCTGCAGCCACCACAGCACTTATGGACTCTTGATTGCATCATCTTGTCTCATGTGGCACTTCCTATGTGAGTCTCCTCTTCAAATACATAAAAAACAGAAAAGAAAATTAGGAAGTTGTGCCCAGAAATAAAAGGTCCTTCCATCCACCTTCCTTAATTTTCTGGACACATCTACCCTATTCCTTATATCTTGCCATTGGTTCTCTCTTTTCCAGGGAAGAGACATCATTTAGAAGTACCTGTGGAAGTCACCCAGGTGTTCTGCATCGATATAATCATCCAAGTTCAGGGTCAAGTCTGCCACTTGCTGTGAGCCATATTCCTAGATGAGTGAAAATAGAAAGTGAGAGACTGGGATATTTCTAGGCTAAGAGTGGGAGGGTGGAGGGAGAGTAACAGAGTCTTCAACCTAAAGAAATATTCACATATGCCCACAAAGACATATATAAGGACTGTTTATATAAAATACCTTCCTAAGGCTTAGAGACTTCTTTGATTTAGGAACACTGCCTTTCCAAGGCAGAGGCTAAAACACCTACTTCCCAGGCTCTTTCGCAAAAGGGCTCAGGCATGGTAATTGAGGTGTTGAACTGATGCATCAACTTTGAGTTGGAGGCGAGCAACATGAAGAGGCAGACCCAGCAAGGGGCAGATATCTTGTTAATGAGGGTAGCAGCAGAGGCCAGTGGGTCATATCAGCAGCTTAACAGAAGGGTGCACCAGGGCAGACAGAATCAGCCAGTACCTAATACTGGGCAGTGTTGGTAGCAGCAGCGGTTTCTGGGGCATGATTTGGGACACTGCTTCTGGAAACCTAGCTTTAAACCTGTTTCAATGAGCTATCCTGGTTCTTTTCGTTTTGTTTTGTTTGTTTTGAGATAGAGGCTTGCTCTATCGCCCAGGCTGGAGTTCAGTGGTGCAATCTCGGCTCACAGTAAACTCTGTCTCTTGGGTTCAAGGGATCCTCCTACCTCAGCCTCCCAAGTAGCTGGGATTACAGGCACCCACCACCATGCCTGGCTAATTTTTAAAAATATTTTTAGTAGAGACAGGGTTTCACCACATTGACCAGGCTGGTCTCAAACTCCTGACTTCAAGTGATCCACCTGCCTTAGCCTCCCAAAGTGTTGGGATTACAGTGTGAGCCACTGCGCCTGGGTGATTCTGGTTCTTTTAATAAACCCTTTTTGATTAAACTAACCCAAGAGGTTTTTGTTGTTTGAAACCAAGAATCCTATCTGACACAAGATCTAAATGTTCATCAAAAGGGAAAGGAATAAAGAAATTATGGTGCCATGAGAAACTACATAACAGTTAAAACAAATAAGGTACATCTACATGTATTTCCATGTCAAGACCTCCAAAACATCGAGTGAAAAAAAGGCAAAGTGCAGTATAATACATATAGCAGGATACTTCCACATGGTCACACACAAACCACTAAGACAAAAGTTAACAAAAAGAAAGTCACTGTCCTTGTGGCACATACAGTCCCATGGCAGAATAAAAGCAAAGCACAAATAAGTACACAATTACAAGCTGCAATGAGTGTCAGGCAGGAAAATAAAATGATGGCGTAAAGAGACATAATTTAGATTTTTTTGGCAGTAGGAGTGGTAGGAGTGGGTAGTCAGAACTGAACTTTTTGAGGAAGTCAAACATGAAAGAGAATTGTCCAGGCTGAAGGAATGGTGGAGGGCTGTGAGAGGGGCAGATGGGGGAGGGGAAGAGCCTTCCAGCATAGGAAATATAAAGTGCAAGGGCTCCAAGGCAGCAAAGAATTCAATTTATTTAAGGAACTGAAGTAGCCCACTGGAGTTACCTAAGTTTTTTCCTTCTATCTTGTCACTGAATAGATTTACCTTATTTAACCATTTCCCTGTTGACAGAAAGCCCCTCCTTCTTAATTCCAGGTGGTGAATATCTTTGTGTACAAAGGTTTTTTATACTTAGGGTTCTCACCTTAAGATAAATTTCCAGAAGTGGGATCACCGGGTAAAGGCTACAAGAACATTGGAGCTCTGGATCCAGACTGTTAAATGGGTTTCAAAACAGCCATTCCCATCCTCATCTCATCAGCAGACTTACGTGTCTCAGAGACTCACCAGCACATTGAGGATCATGCTGCTCTCCACGGTGATGGCTTTCACAAGGAGCTTTCTGGACCCATCCTTATACTCATACCGGAGGACATACAGGTCCTTATTGTTGTTCCACCCAGCTGGCAGCAGTTCTGACTTCTTATCATTGGGACCCGGCTGGGAAGACACCACAGTTGAGAGGAGAAAGATCATGACCTCAAAACACAGAATTATAAAGAACCTCACAAGATAAGCTAATCTTACCCGCCTCACTTCACAGATGAAGATGTGGAGGTCAAGAGAAATGACTTGCCCAAGATCCTACAGCGAGAGAGAGGTTTAGGGCCCAGGTCTCTGGGCTTCTGTTCTACTGTGCTCTCCCTCATATTGAGCTACCTTTCTGACACAGCATTGGAACCTGTCAAGAATCTGCAGTGTTGGTTTAATAATCATCTCTTCCCCATCCCTCTGCTAAGAATAAAGCCAGTCACCTTGAGGAACACTGAGAAGTTCTAAGTAGTGTTTTTCAAAGTTTGGACCTTAGGCTAACTACAATAGATTACCAAGGTGTTGACTAAAAACACAGATCCTAATACACCCTAACTGACTGCAGTGATGTACAAAAATTATAATTTCATAGTACACAAAATGTAGCATATGTACAAATAACAAAGAATTATAAAATGTCTCTACCACCAGCTTAAGAAATAGAACATCAGCAATACTGCTAAAGCCTTGGGTAGCAAACTCCAATAAATGTCCCTCCTTCCCCTTCAAGGGTAATCACCACTCTTAAACAATTTCTTTACTTTTCCCTAGAGTTATATTACTCTACATGCAACCACAAAAATATATTGTTTCAAATATTTTTGAATTTTAAATAAACAGCATCACTTCTGTCATTTGCCTTTTTTATTCGATACTGTTTTTGGAAAGGCATCCATGTCAATGCATTTAACTACAGCTGATTCACATTCACAGCTACACAGCATTCTGTATGACTATGCTGCAATTTATACATGTACTTGTTGATGGTGATTTGGAGTATTTCCCAGCTTATTTGTTTTGCTATTATGAACAATGCTGCTATGAACATTCTTGTACACATCTGGTACATACACGGATAAATTTCTATAGAGTATGCATGGAGGAAAAGCTTTTAATTTACAAGATAAAGTCAAGTTGTTTTCTAAAGAGTTACTGATTTATACTCCCACTAGCAATGTATGAAAGCTCCTGTTGCTCCGTGTAGTTGGCAACATTGCTATTGTTGCTTGCCAATCTAGTAGGGGTAAAATGCTTGCCATTTTCATGCTTGTCAGCCTGGTGGGTGTAAAATACATCTTTTATTGTGAGTTGTGATGTCTTCCTTTTTCCTTTTTAAAAAATCCTAAGACTTTCCATACTAAAGTTTGAGAAGTAGTTCTCAAATTATTTCTACAGGAAAAATAATATAGTGATTTCCAGGTGGGGAAGATTTCTTAAACAAGACTCATAAAAGAAAAAAAAATGCTGCCTTTGACATTGTTTGTAACTGAAAGCTTCTGTTCAACAGAGACACTACTAAGTTAATAAGCAGCCACAGGCTAGGAAGACACATTTGCTATGGCTGCAAAGGAAAGAAATTAATAACCTCTACATAAAGGGAATGCCTGAAAAATGAACAATAACAACTGGCAACTCCAAAAAGTGGCAAAAGATACGAACAAGAAAAAGAGCGGTTAATAGTATTTAAAGAGTTATTCAATTTTACTAGTAATCAGAGAAGCAGAACTGAAATAATGAGACACTAAGTTATACGATTCGGACTGTTATTACCCAGTTTTCTACTTTTTGCCAGATGTCTGTGTAGGTGTGGGGAGAATGGGAACCTCTAGTCCCTGCTGGTGGGCATTTAAACTCATACAGCCCTTTTGGGGAGCAATCTGGCAGTTTTTAGTGCAATTAGGTAAGCCAATATCCTATAATTTAAAATCCCTACTCCCAGAAGAAACCCTGTGCACAGGGTCCATAACAAAGGATCTTCATTATAGCCTTGGCTAAGGTAGCCAAAGTGGAGATAAAATGCAAAATATGCTTACAGTGGAATACTATTTAGCAGTCAGAAGGAACAAACCAGATCTAATGATAGTATTATATATAAAATAAAAAATATGATTTAAAGGAAAGATCCCCCCAAAATGAGGTTTACACTCCAGTACCTTTATGTAAAAATTTTAAAAAGCACCAAAAAAAGTTAGAATCTTTTTTCATGGATGTATATTTATATTGCTCACCATGGGTCAGGTGGACTGGGAAGATCTGCAGTCATGAGAATACAGCGGGAGGGAGTGGGACCGGAGATGAAGAAAATGGAAAAGACAAAGGTCCAGCAAAGCAAAACTTCACACACCAAGGACAAGGGGAGACCACACATTGAGAACTGCCGGCCTGTCCTCTTTGGTCACCCCTGGTGCTCAGAAATCCTTTGGGGAAAGAGAATCCAAATAAAATTCAGGATGTCACAGCTGGCATGGTTTAAAACCTGGCTGGATGAGGATGAAATTCACAGGCCTGAAGCACAGAAATGAGAGTGAGGAAAAACAAAAATGAAACTAATCAAACCATTCTTCTGAGAAAGAGAAACTATCCCCTCACCCCAAACTGGGTAACTTTCCCAAATATGTTTAGTGCTTAGCGTTATGAATTTGTTTACTTTGGAAGCCAGAAATTTGATGACATCCTCATCTTTGCTCTGTCAAAGGCCTTTAAATTTATATTATATCCTCCATGTACAGCATTCAAACCACCACAGTTCTCTCTTGGAATATAAACAATTTGGTCTGCTCACCTCCCCATCACCTTTGGCTTCCAGAGTTACAGAAAATCCCTGAAGTCAGGTGAAACTGCTGTCTCTAACTGCAGTGCAACTGATGTTTCCCAGTAAACAGAGGACAGATCCTGGGGATATCAGGCCAAACATGGCATGCAACTGCCCTGTAAACCCTGACATCAAATATCAAGAGTCCCAGAAAGCCACAGTTGGAAAGTAGCCTAAGTACACAGTCACATGGTTTAACTTCCTCTGATGAAAAATCAAAGGCCTGAGGCTGAGTGCAGTGGCTCATGCCTTTGGGAGGCAGAGGCAGGCAGATCACTGGAAGTCAGGAGTTCGAGACCAGCCTGGACAACATGGTGAAACCCCGTCTCTATTAAAAATACAAAATAAAATTAGCCAGGCATGGTGGCGCGGACCTATAATCCCAGCTACTGGGGAGGCTGAGGCAGGAGAATTGCTTAAACTCAGGAGGCAGAGGTTGCAGTGAGCCAAGATCGCACAACTGCCCTCTAGCCTGAGAGTGAGACTCCATCTTGAAAAAAAAAAAGAAAGACAATTCTAAGGCCTGAGAGGGTCAGAGAGCTGACCAAGGTCTCAGCAAGTCAGCTGTAGGGTTGTACTTGGAATTCAGAGCTCCTGATTGCCCCAGGCTATAGCTAGAGAAGGTTTTCCCCAGCCAGGTCCATAAGATGGCCCTAAAAGAATAAAGATAACTGTCTTCCTAGGTAAAATCCTGGCACTGGAAGCGTTCTTTAATGGTCATGAGTTTGACCCAATGCCTCTGAGCTAACATGCACCCAAAGAAACTTAAACAGATCATTTTGGGCATTTTCTCTCTTTCATCACAATCCTTACATTCTCCACAACAGAAAACAAAATTATCTAACTTATGTCGATGACCACCTAAGTCATCCCTTACCTATCCCCTTGCCACCTAAACCACTTGGAAAAGCTGTAAAGTTCTCGCAAGGAGTGGTTCTGACATCAAGAAAGAAATCCAAATTCTAAGATTGGATTTTTGTTGAAGCCAGTGGCTGCATTGGTCTTCTAGTCAAGTTTTACGTACACAATTCCCCTATAACACAGGAGGTAAAACCTAAGAGAAAGCAGACAATCTAGCTTTCCATTTAACTGTCAACTTGTGTAGTCAAGCATACACTCTTGGACCTTCCTCTCGTTATCACCCCCAGAAGGGTGGAAACAGGAGATGGCAGGAGAGGCAACACAAATATCCTCTGAGCTTAGAAAATACAATCGAGTCAGCTGAGTTGGCTGGCCCCAGGCTGAAAAATTAAACCTCCTTTTAAATAAACTAACAGGAAAGATGCCTCTCCAGCTTCCACTCTGAATGAAAGTAGACTCAGCAGAAGTGACAGGAGGACAAGTGCAACCTGAGCCCCACTGACAATCAAGGAGAAAAGGCAGAGAGAAGCAAAAATACACCACGCTCTAGTTTGCAATCCAAACACCCATTCCTTCAAGAGCATGCAAGATTCAGGAAGAAAGGTGGCAATGCCTTACAAAAACCCCATTCCCCAGGCTCCTGGGCCTCCCCAAAGATTTCTGAAACCAGCATCTTTTTCTGGCCTGCAGAAGCTCAAAAAATAGCACCATGAACAGAGAAAAATCAGATGGACCTTGGGGAATTGGTCAAGGCCTTTTTTTTGGAAACAACAACAACAACAACAGAAAAAAACAGTATTAAAATGAGATTGTATTCTTTCTGTACATTTCATCCGAAAATTTTGCAGCCTTGAGTGTATGGAAAGGTGATAATGCCAGCTAAAAGAAGGTATCGACTTATGTGAACTGATGTTCCCAAACTGTCAAAGTGATTCAACAGGATGAGTGAGGGTAAGAATGGTGGGAGCAGATTCACAGCAATTGATATTTATTTGTGGAATGGCAAGAAGAGAAGGGCATCAGGCACACCCTCTAGAACAAGTTCCGGAGCAGAGGTGGACAGGGTTCTGATAGTGTGGCAGAGTAGAAGTAGCTAGTTAGGGGTATGTAAGGGGAGTGAGGTACATGAGAAGGGACAGTGCAGAGTACAGCTGTTCCATCTGAAGGACAAGAGAGCTGAGGGCCAATGGAGGAGCTCCCAGGTCAAAATCAAATCTTACTCCTCTTCTCAGCCCCACTGTCCCCTGCACCATCCCAGATACCAGTTTCTTTGAAGAATCTAGGAAAAGCTGAAATAAAATGACTGGGGCAAGTGAAGAGCTGCTCAAGATTAAAAAGCTGGAGTAGGACAAGTGGGGAGACAAGATTTCTGTTAGGGGGACTATGCACTGAAACAGGGGCCTGACACTGAAATGTGACTCTACCTGGTACTAAGGTCTGAAATGCTGAAAGGCATTTGGAAGGTATGTGGAATGAAGAGCAGCACAAAGAGAAAGGACAGGGACAGATGTGTTTGGGAAGGTGAAATGGTTCCTGCTTCCAGGTGTGTGTGTGTGAAAGGCTGGCTGTTCTTTTCCATCCTCATCTCCAGTCATAGAGCCCATTTGAGAGATGAAGTATGTGTGAGTTTGGAGGTGGGAATGGGGATCCTGAGTGTGTACCTGGGGTCCCAGTGAGATAACTGAGGTCGGAGGCAGGCGGGGGAAGAGCCAGAAATCCCTGACAGTTCTTAGGCTCTGGTTCCTGCTGAAGGAGGTAAAGTGTGAGAGGGGTATCGTGGTCTTGGTCTTTAGTTCTAAGAGACAGAGAGGAATAGGGACAGCAGTGAGGGGTAGGGGAAAGGGGATACTTCCTAAGTGCTCAGAATGTACAAAACAAGTTTGAAGACAGGTCCCTAAAGCTATGTCAGGAGAGGAGAATTAAGACTCTATTTGAGAAGCTAAAAAAAATGATTAGAGGAGTTGAGGACTGAAGCAGTCAAAAAGGAGAGGAAGGGTGATGGGGTGGTCTGTTTCCCATGGCTGGTCTTGGTTCTGAGAGTGAGAGAACAGTGACAGTGAGCGGCACGCATGGAGGCAGGCCCAGTTGTCCCAGCAAGCAGATGTCTAGGATGATGTGGATGTGGGGGATGAGGGTCACAGGGAAGAGACAGGAAAGACAGAAGAATGCTAGAGCAAAGAATTAGTGAGGTGGGTTGGGCCCAGCGGTCCTGGAACTCGGTGGGGATGACAACAACGTCCCTAGGTGTAAGAGGTGGAGCCTGGGGATGGGAGTGGAGGGGGCTGGCCCTATGGGGACAGCTATGAGGAGAAAATCTTATATGACTCTCACATCCAGGCTGTATGTGTATACGATTCTAGGGGGGACTGTTTCCTAGAGCTTAAGCTGGGGATGGCAGTAGCGAGTGGACTACGCTGGGCCCTTCAGTAAAGCGTGAAAGGCATGTGAACTCTCTGGGCCCATGCTAAGGGGTGAAAAAAGGGCCGTGGCCTGGGGCTGAGTAGGTCAAAGTTCACTCCCGTACCTGTGCTTGGATCCAGATGTTTGGTGGAGGCTCTAGTGTGGTATCAGGGCGGAACTGAGTCAGTCCCCTCACCCCGAGGTTGGGTGGGAAGGAATTCAGAGGAGATTAGGTGGGTGAGGAGTGCTCTGGGGAGCTAAACTCCTGTCTGGATTCTTTTCCATTCTATGGAATGCTAGGTCCACACAGTACTGGCCTGAGAGGCTGCCAGGCTGTGTTGAAGCGAGTTTCTGCCCTTGAGTTTACAAATCATGTTGTGCCAGCTGTGCTGTGAGGGACTCTGGGCTGGGTTGGAGCAGGTGAGCAACCTCCGACCCGCAGGTTTTACCAACGCCGTCATGTGCCCCAGGCCCTGCATTGGGAAAGGCGGGGAAATCGGGCGCTCTGGACAAGGCCTCTGGGCCTCTGAGTTTGGACAGAAGACAGTCCCCTCCTCCACCCTGGTCGGCTCCGTGGCGTACCTGGTCACCGACACCCAAGCCGTAGTAGCCGTGTGTCACCATTTCCCAATGCAAGAAGCAGACGAGCGCGTCCTGCGTGCAGGTGATGGCCGGCGCTGCCGATGCGAACAGTACCTCCAGGCCCGCCATAAGCGCCAGCGACTTCGGCGTCTGGAGGAGAGAAGGGGGAGGGGGTAGTGCAGTGAGCCAGCTCCGCGGCCGGGGTAGCTATAACTCCGCTTCACTCCTGCGCTAGCTCTGGCAGAGTCTACACCTGAGACCAAGATGGAGACGCCCGGGGGCGGGGCGGGGCGGGGCCGCCGGAAGTAGCCCCAGGAGCGGGCGCAACTGCGTGAGGCGCGCCGGGCTGGCAACGCGAGCGCAGAACTAAAAGGTTCCGCCAGGGACCGCGCGGGGCGTGGCCCCTCAAAGCCGGAACCTGGGTCTTCGCTGGGTCCGACAGGATCGCTTCACGCAGGCACAGCGCCCTCCAAGAGGCCACCTTGCTGAGAGCCAGACTTCCCATGCACAAAATGGGTTATGCTAGGCCGGGGAAGGGGCTGGGAAATGTGGCTAAAATACATTCTTAATAATCGTTAATACGTACGCAGTGCTTACTACCGGCCACATTATTCTAAATGCTTTAGTTGTATTCATTTATTTAATCTTCACAACCCAACTCTATGCAGTTGATATTAACGATTAATGTGCCTCATTGCACAGATGAGGAAACTGAGGCACAGAGGGCTAATTTGACCAAGATGACAACAGTCAGCGGGTGAATGGCTGAGATGGTTACAGGAACCTAGCAGTCTGGCTTCTAAGATAACATTTATTAAGTGTTTATTGTGTGCTACATCCTGTACTAAAACCTTTACATCACCTTCTCAACAACTCTATGATGTACCATTATTATCCCCATTTTGCAGATGACAAAACGGCTGAGAGTTGAAACCATTTTTCCAAGAAGACACAACTGCTGCCCGCAGAGCTGAAGCTCCTGACCCATTACCAAATTTCAATCATTTATTTGACTACCCCCTTTATGATTTTTACCACCCATTATGTCAATAAGTTTCATGAAATCCACTTATTGTTTTTACCCAAATAAATTTAGTTTCCCCATCCCAGTCACCAACCTGGTCCAAGCTCCCGTCATCTTTCACTTGGATGCCTAGCATCAGCCTCGGAACTGCCCCATTCCATTCCTGTCTCTCTCTGTACTGCACTTCGCAACCAGAGAGATTATGTTAGAAAACAGGTCAGATCGGCCGGGTGTGGCGGCTCACGCCTGTAATCCCATCACTTTGGGAGGCCGAGGCAGGTGGATCACTTGAGGTCAGGAGTTTGAGACCAGCCTGGCCAACATGGTGAAACCCTGTCTCTACTAAAAATACAAAAATTAGCTGGGCGTGGTGGCGCACGCCTTTAGTCCCAGGTACTCAGGAGGCTGAGGCGTGAGTATCGATGGAACCCGGGAGGTGCAGGTTGCGATGAGCCAAGATCTCACCATTGCACTTCAGCCTGAGCAACAGAGCGATACTCCGTCTCAAAAAAGAAACAAAAAGAAAAAAGAAAACAAGTCAGATCACATCCCTCAGCTCAAAATCTCACAGGGTTCCCATCACACTCAATGGAAAAGTAAAGTCCTCCCCGTGGTCTGCAGGAACCTGCATGTGGTCTGCCACCTCCTGCCCCAGCCCTGCCAGTCCTGTACCTCTCTGATTCAATCTCCTTCAACTGTCCTCCCATCCCCTTTATACCTGCAATGACCTTGGCTCCCCTTCTCTCACAGCTACATATGGTCCAACAGCAAAGCTAGTTGACTCCACTCTCAAAATATATTATGAATCTGACCACTTCCCATCACCTTCACTGCTTCCACCCTGGTCTGATCCTCCAGCATCTAGCTTCCCAACCACTTTCCCTCTTTCATGTGTTCTGTTTAGGCCTTTGCATTCCTCTTCCTGGAATGCTCTTTTCCCAAATATCTACGTGTGTTGCTTCTTCATTTCTAGTGGCTCCATCCCTCACTCCTACCATCCTCAACAGAGGGCTTCCCAGACCATTCCATCCAAATAACCTTCTCCAGGCTTTAACCCCTCTCCTGTTTTTTTTTTTTTTTTCCCTGCAAAGCACTAATCATAACCTGAAACTATATTAGGTATTTATTTCTTTGCTTATTTAATGACTGTCTTTCCACTAGACTGTGACAAAGAAACAGGGAGCATATCTACCTTGTGCACATATGTACCTGAATGCCATCTGGGATCAATCTATACTTATTGAAAGAAAGAATGAATACTGAATGAAGAAATGAATTCTTGTCCTAGCCCCAACCCAATCAGGCCACTCTTATCTCTTTATAGTTCACCACTCCCTTTGTCAGCTGGTCCTGTGCCTCTCCAAATTTTGTGTTCCTAGAATTTCCTTGAGACACCCAGATTCTTGAACTCCTTCTGCAGAGATTCTGGATGAGAAGGTCTGAGGAAGAGTGCGTGTATGTTGACCACATTCTGGACGACACTAAAGCTGATGGCTGTGGAACTCCTCTCTGAGATGTACTGCCTGTGGCATAAAGCTATTTGCCCTTTCTACTGAGAAGTTCTGCACTTTCGGGCTTCCCTGCTTTTGCTTATTCTGTCCCTTCTGTTGTGATACCCTTATCCAGTTATGGAAAAGTTCTACAGATTCATTCCGTCAATAAACTTTGATAGGCTGGGCTGCCATGAACCATAGTGCAGGGTGTCCACTTAAGGTGCCTACTTAGTGGCAGCCCATTCCTAAGTGCCTAGTGTGGGCCAGACACAGATGAACAGGTTCCTGTCCCTATAGGGCTCACTATCTAGTGTTAAAAAAAAAAAAAAAAAAAAAGCACTGGTCAGGCACGGTGGCTCACGCCTGTAATCCCAGCACTTTGGGAGGCTGAGGCGGGCAGATCACGAGGTCAGGAGTTCAAGACCAGCTTGGCCAACATGGTGAAACCCTGTCTCTACTAAAAATACAAAAATTAGCCAGGCGTGGTGGCAGGCACCTATAATCTCAGCTACTTGGGAGGCTGAAGCAGGAGAATCACTTGAACCCAGGAGGTGGAGGTTGCAGTGAGCTGAGATCAAGCCACTGCACTCTAGCCTGGGTGACAAAGCGAGACTGTCTTCAAAAAAAAAAAAGTGGATTTAGGAGTAAAAGGTGTTCCACTAAAAGGAAACAGTATGTGCAAAGGCGTGGTGGAATGCAGCTAGCTGTGTGTGATTAGAAGGTCAATGTTGTCTCCTGAGTGAGGTTTCCCTCATCTCTTTGCCCATGATTAATTGCTCTTTCCTCAGTGTGCTTGGCGTCAGTGGGGTACCAAGGGGTGGGCATGGGACAGTGAGAGCTATCAGCCTTAGTCAGGTGGAGAATTTTATCATTGAAGTTGATGTAAATTGCTGGTTCTTGATGATAGCAAAAAGTGGACTGACTTTTGGTCTCTTTTATTACTACTTTAAAGTTTTTTACAGCAAATGTACCCACTCCTTGTCTGCACCAGGGCAGGCAGCTCCGTCATCCCCACCCCTTGGTTCAACACTGCTTTGCATACAGTTGGTTGTAGCTGGCATCTTATAGAACGCTGGCTCCCTCTTCTACACCATCATCCCTGTCTTAACAAGTATTATCTCAGAAGCCCATGGTGAGACAGGGATTTGAGTGGTTTATCTGGGAGCTGATTCCAGGAAATAGCAGTGGGGGCAGTGGAGTAGGGAAGTGAGACAGGAAGGAAAGGCAGCCAGCAGAGGGAGTGTGATGAAGCCAGTTACCTCTACGGGGCAACTGGACCGCACGCCTACCCGGGAACTCTGGGAGGCAGTATGGGGCATGTCTCAGAGCTCTTCCATTTGAGGGCATCTGCCACAGGCTGAGAGCTGTTTCTGGGGTCCTGGAAGGCCCTCAGGCAGAGAGTCGCATAATTTAAAGAAAGCAGTCTGCGTGTAGAGGTGACTGCTGAAGGGTGACGAGGGTATTGTAGTGCGGACTGCTATGTCCTCCCACACCCCTGACCAGGGGTGAGCCATGCCTTGGAAAGTCTGTAACCCAGCAGCCAGCATGGAATAGGCACTGGCATCAGTGTATTGAAAGAATGAGGTAAACTCTTATCTCCTGAACCAGGCTGTGAATCCTGTGAAGGCCAGGACTATGTTCCACCTGTCCTGAACCCCAGGGTCCTCCAGGGATGGGAGCAAATGGGAGGACCTCCTGGGGCTGGTGTGTGTGTGTGTGTGTGTGTGTGTGTGTGTGTTGCCCCTGATTCATCCAGCACTTTCTGTGGACTTACCTACATCAGCAAGAGTCCCATTCTGCCCTTGTAAGTGCTGTGAGTGGCTGAGAAAGGAAGCAGGTGGCGGGTGCCTCCCTGTCTGGGCCCCCACTACCAAGAGCCCATGCCAGAGATGAGGGCCCAGGATGATAGAAAGAACTTGGCCGGTGGCTGCAGCCACCAGTTCCTGGTTGCCAAGTGACAGCAATGTGGGTATTCCAAGCTCCCTGCCTCCCTGGAAACCATGAAGAACTGAACCAATGGGCAGTGCCTAGATGGGCACTGAGGCGAAGTCATTCACTACTGTAATTCTTCCTCGGCCTAGCATCAACTCAACCATATCACCTCCTCCAGGAAGCCCTCCATGATTGATATTGTTCTTTGCTTCTACCAAGTATCTGATATCCAAGACTTCCCGACTTCCCATTCCCCTTGTCAGTGGGGTACCCAGCATATTTGACACCCATAGCAGATACCTCTTTTCTTAAAAAGACGATAATTTTTAGGCCGGACACAGTGGCTTATGCCTGTAATCCCAGCACTTTGGGAGGCCAAGGCAGGTGGATCACAAGGTCAGGAGATAAGACCATCCTGGCTAACATGGTGAAACCCTGTCTCTACTAAAAATACAAAAAAATTAGCCAGGTGTGGTGGCGGGTGCCTGTAATCCCAGCTAGTTGGGCAGCTGAGGCAGGAGAATGTGTGAACCCGGGAGGCAGAGCTTACAGTGAGCTGAGATTGCGTCACTCCAGCCTGGGCGACAGAGTGAAACTCTGTCTCAAAAAAAAAAAAAAAAAAAAGAATTTTTTATGTAACTCTATTAGTTTTTTAAAGTTTTTTTTATTGTGGTAAAATACACATAGCATAAAATTGATCATTGTAATCACTTCAGGTCTACAGTTTAGTGGTACTGACCACACTGTTTTCCACGGAGGCTGCACCATTTTACATTCCCACCAACAGTACAGAAGCATTCCAATTTGTCCACTTTCTCAGCAACACTTGTTATTTTGGTTTTTTTTGTTTTGTTTTGTTTTGTTTTCATAGTACCCATTTAGCCATTCTAATGAGTATGAGGTGGTATGTTTTTTATTTTTTAAATAGAGATGGAGTTTTGCCATGTTGCCAAGGCTGGTCTTAAACT